ATTTTTAAATTTATTTTTTTCTGTTTTGTGTTTCTAATATCACATCGTTTTTATTCCGCAGAACAATATAGTTGTTTCTAAGCTTCGTAGTTGCGTGTGTTTCAATGGTAGTGGAGAAAAGTTAGTTGTATTCAGTAATTCAATTACTGTAATTGCTTAGCGAAGTCGAACAGTAAATCGCAGATGAATGTTACCTCTTCGTTTTCGTTAATAAATTTTAAAGCAAAGTTCATATCATTACGTTGAGAATTGTTAGGCCTATCCAGTTGTATATTAGCGCTTGGTTCTGGTCAAAACTGACTTACGAGGGAACATATCTTAGTGGAAAATATCGAGTTTTTTTCCATTTTGCTTTGTCACTGAGAGACTGAATCGAATGGTGTATTTTGTTAGCTGTATTGAGTTTTTTGAATTTTCACCTGGAAAAATTCTGACATTTTTTCTAAGAAATGATAGTCAACGACAAACTCTGAAAAATACCTCGTCCAGTTCAATTTGTACCGTTAATGCCGAATATAATGTTTTTTATTGTACAAAGAATGAAATCCTGATGAAGAAAATAAATAATCTAAAAAGTTGAATCACTGATTAGTGAAATATTAGTTTCAACTTCGAAAAAACGAAGTTCTTTGACAAAATTTTACTATTTCAACGTAGTGTTCGAAGAGTTTAAATCAGTTTAGAAAATATGAATTTTCTCGGTGATAAAGCAAAATAGAGAAAAAGCGATTCATTGGAGTGGATCACAAATTTTGCAGGGAAAATCGAGATTTCCTCGAACGATTCAATGTTTTTTTGAATAAAAATTTTAGGATAAATGGTCCATATGAAGATACATCTTCCCTGAAAATATTGTTGAAAAATATTGCATGACTCGGGAGAGAGGTGGACTCTATTGATTTTTCGTCAGGCTCGACCCCTATAAAACGATATCTATAACTTGGGAAGGAAATATTTTTAGAGCACTAGCTTTTGGCTGTAAGCTAATCTACGCTGGTTATGCATATGATAAGAAGTAGAGCCCGATCTCTGGCATCAAGTAGCTGACAGTATCGTACGCTGTCGGCTTTTCTCAGACAATGGCTCTTAAGAGAAGCTTCGCCACAGCACCGACCATGCCGTCCAGGAGAAAATTTTATTTTATTTTTATTTATGTCTCATTCGATAGAGCATACAAAATAACCACTAACCCTACAATAACTCTTTCTGAAAGTGCTTTTTTAAAAAACTAGAGGCCAAACGCTCTGTTGAGTGTTACCCTTGTTATCCAAAAACGTGAATTCATTTCGACATTCAACTTTTTACCATATTCGATAAAATGTCTGAATATTTTCGTATAGACAATGGAATTTTTCCGTAGTCAAGAATATGCACATGGTATCATGGATACCATCGCCGCATAGTGGGCAATTTTGCCTAGAACACGCGGATATGTGCTATTAATTTAATAATAACTTTTGACAGGAAAGAGCTAAAGAGCTTCGGTTTTCGCCATTCAAATGAAGAGATTTGACGCCACGTTTTCATGACCAAGTTTGTTGTCAGAAGAGTTTTCTGAAACAGGTTTTCTAGGAGATCTTTGGAAAACTAGGCCGTCTGTAAAAATTCCCCAAAAGGATTGTATCACTTTTTTTCATGGACTAATAGCCCGGGATATTCTCTTCAAAATGGGAGTGAAGTGAGACCTTGATTTTCCACGGTTCGAGCATTGTATCGGATTTCCTGCGAGTCCCAGGACTGACATCTGGTGACTATTGATAGCCTTGAAAACGGATGGGCTATAGGTAATCGATCATGCTGAGTCTTGTGACAATAGTTGTTTTTTAGAAAAAGCTCTAAAACTCTACGAAAAAGAGAGTTTTACGAAAATTTGCGTTTCAGACTGTTTTCAACTAATATTAAAAAGTTCACTATTCACTTAATAAGCATCAGAACGAGTTCAAAATTTCAGAATGTAGAGTATTTAAGCTATTCTATATCCTGTTTATAGGAGAGCTTAAAAGAAATTTTATAAAACCCTAAGGTTTTCCAAAAGTTTTTCTGGAAAATCCAATAATAAAAATATGCTGAAATATTAAAAATATTTTCTGATTTTTCGATCGTGTAATCACATTTAGCGCAGGAAATCAACCATATCCGGAAATTTTGAACCCGTTCTGATGTTTATTGAACTTTTTAATATTAGGTGAAAACAGCCTGAAAACGCTAATTTCCGTAAAAGTCGCTTTTTGATAGATTTTTAAAATTTGTTCTAAAAAACTTATTAGCCGTAAAAAAATGCCTTTCGGGTCAAAATCCATGGTTTTTTGTAAAAACCTCCCGAACAATCCAGAATCACTGGCGCTAATTGGCGCTATGATCAGTGGTAGAGGACACCTAGAGGAATATTTGGCGAAAGGTTCAGTTCAATTGGGCTTTAGCTGTTTGTAGCGTTAACAAAATACAGAATGATACATTTCTGATACTCAATTTTAAACTCGTAGATTTTTTTTCTGTAGCAATTTGAGTTCAATCTAAACGATCTTTACATTAAAATGGAGCTCATAAATGAAAAATTCTTTTCTGATAGTTTTTCAAATTAAACTATTCCAATAAGTTGACCAAAAAATTAACTTTATCTAAGGATAGCGATTTTTGAACAAATTTCTTAGTATGTATTTTTCTAACGCTCAATTTAAATTTCTGAAAAAAATGAAAACATTAAGAGAGCCTATGCCAGAAAACCGACCTGTCCGAAGGAAAATTTTATTTTATTTTTATTTATCTCTCATTCGATAGAGCATACAAACTAACCACTAACCCTGCAATAGCTCTTTCTGAAAGTGCTTTTTTAAAATATAAGATTTTTAAGCGTGATTTATTATCATTGTATATCAATACAATTGTGTTTTCATACGTCGTCAAGTGTTAATTATTATATTTAACATAATGGTGATCACTCTTGAGATAAAAGAGATCAGACTTTTGAGTTTGTGATCATTATAAACATTACAAGAATCTGTACTGTTTTATTTTGAAACTAATCACAGCAACTAGACTAATTGTTTGATATCAAGAATATTTATTCGTAAACGAGTTTTAGTCACGTAATCAAACATCATTTAAATTTTGTAATCAGATACCCGAAAATAGTACTTTCAAATTCTTGCAAATTTCACAGGATGTATCTACTTTGAGATTCAAAAAGACATTAGCCTAACTTGAACACGTGCCATGACATACGCTGTTCTGTTCAATTGACTTTGTAAATATCTTATAGTATCATTTTTTAGATAAACTTAGCTAAACTTCTAAGCCACCTATTATCCATTTCAAAATATAGTGGACAAAACTCTTTTCAAAAATAATCTTTGATACACAAATGATAAAGTGATACGGTTTTCGCCAGTTTATAGACAATACTGGGGGAAATCTATTGGTAAAAGTATCAGGTCCTGCAAATGGTGTACCAGATGGATCTTTCGTAGACCGGTTACCGTTTTCTAGGCTTCCATAGCAAGTACGAGACATTCATCTAGCATCGTCCAGGCGTGGCAGAAAAAAATGTCTGAAGGCATTTTATATCGGGCGATCTTAATGTCTGATAATCTCGGAAGTAAATGGAACTCATCCCGAATCTCGTGGCAATGTTTTTGTCTCTCTCTACTTGATTGTTTTGCTTGAGTATTTCAGAAAAACGATTCCTAGAAAGTCAGTGTCACTGTGCAATGCGTATTCGGCGTCGTTGTGTATTTCTATCATTAAACTATGTGGAAACACTTACCACTAACTTATATTTTTGGATCAGTATATTCTTTACTTCTGAAAAGCATCTCTAGAAACAGATTTCTGAAAAACTATGATGGAGGCATGAATTACGCTATCCTATGGAAGCTTATTTTCTGAATTAACATACAGAAAAAATTACGACGTTCAAACTCTGGCAATGGAGTTTATTAATACATTAGATTGTGCTACAGCAATAAATTATATTATGCATGCACAAATAACAACTTGAATTACCATTCGAACAAGAAGATAAATTTGCGGTCATGAAAAACTTGTTAACGAGGACGTTGAGGCTGATTCGAACGATGGAACTGATGAATAAAATTTTTCATAATGGATAATAACAATCTGTACGAGGTATGTAGCAGTTTGGCGAATCTGAATTTGAGTGTCAGGATTAGAATCGATAACTAATAATATTTCATATGGAGTCGAAATAGATTTGGCTGGAGTTTTTTTGCAGACGAGTTGAAGAAAAATCTTTTTTGCAAGTTACTTATTAGCATAAGGACATGACTAATTCGAAAATATCTCTGGACTCAGGTCTTTTCCGTTACCGAGATAAGAGGCATTATTTCCTAAAAACTGGCTCTTATTTATTGCTTTAAAGGCAAGATTTTTTGGTGAAATTGATTATTTAGGCAGCTGTAGCTTTGTACTTAGATTCTCTAGCAATTGTAGTTTTATAAAAACGTCTTCCGTGGGCGGCGAGAGCGCGCAAATTTTCCAAATTTTGGACTTTTTTCACTTTTAACCATGTCGGACTTCCGATTTTTTCATGATTTTTACCAATGAGTAGTAAGCTCGCACCTAGCAACATGTCTCTATACTGTATTCGAGCTACTTATGGTTATTTTATTCATAAAGGTATGATTATAGGTAGCCAGCAGGAAAGGTAGTTATTTTACGGATAATGCCGTCTGTCTCGGTAACGGAAAAGACCTGAGCCCAGAGATATTTTCGAATTAGTCATGTCCTTATGCCAATAAGTAACTTGCAAAAAAGATTTTTCTTCAACTCGTCTGCAAAAAATCTCCAGCCAAATCTATTTCGACCCCATATGAAGGCTTTTTAAAGTTACCGTTTCCTATTATTGAATCAATACAATTATCAACTAAAATAGTAGAATAAGTCATTTTCTTTTAACGTCGTAAAAAGTTCTTTGATAGATTCGTATTCAACTTTCTATGAACCAAATAAATAGAATAATAATAAATAATTTTTGTGTAGGATTAGAAACTGTATGATGCTAACTGCTGTTCGAGCTCGAAATCATCCATCATCGACGATTTATGGGCATTTGTGAATTGAAATTTCAACTTTTGTACCGTTTCCTTGGTAAACGATTTGCATTCTCTTAAATGTATCTCAAAATCCAGAGCTTTAATCAGCTGTTTTTTATTGTCATTAGGCAATGATACAGACGATGTTGACGGTATTATATTTACTACTTTGAAAGCGGCATAGGGTAATATAAGCACCTCTTTCTCATGCGGATATTCTGACATTGTTTCAATATCTAATGCAGTTCGATTATTTCTCGTTTCGTATACACATAGAACAGAATGCTGAAGTTGAATATCTTTACTTGGTTGTCGAGCAAATTCTTCAGCCACTGATTGATCTTTCGATGTCGATAGAAATGATTTGTTCATTATTCGAGTGCCGATTACGTATCCTGCAATATCAGCAGCATTCATTTTCATTCCACGATACGTTTTTCCTTTAAAACAAAATTGTTCTAGAGATATGTGGTTATAAAGAGTACTTACAATCCATTGTTGCATGTTCGAAGTCCAGTCTTTATCAAAATCTTCTAGAGCAAAATCTCTATTTAACTTCTTGTAATAATCAGTTTCTGCCGTATATGCTTTAATCAGATAAGAAGGATCTCTAGTCAGTTTGGCTTGACGAAAATAAGATTGTATCTCTGATCGTTCAGAAAGAATAGGCACTTTATGAATAAGACAGCTTTCAATCATCCAATCAAGTTTATTTAACATTTTATGTTCGCTCCACGCTGATTTTAGCCACAGTCGTTTATAGAGTGCTTGCTGATATATTGTTGAATCGACTTTTGTCCATTGTAAGTTACCAGTATCATCACCGAAACGATTACTTTCATTACGTAGAAATAGCTCTCGGATTTGAGATGTTTTTGCTTCATGAATAGGTAAACACTCGTATTTATTTTTTATTGATCGACTCGCACGGGCATTGAGTAATAATCTTACAATGTCATAATGACCATAGAAAGAGGCTGCATGCAATGCAGTAGAACCGTTTGGCTCTACACGATTAATCTGGTTAAGGTTAATATCTTTAAAAAGTAGTTTGACTTTATTTAAATCTCCATTACGACAAGCAGAATAAAACTCACTGGACGTGGAAGTAGACGAACTAGAATCCAAGTTTTTATGGCTGAAGTCATACCTCAAATTTTATGTGCACATGAAAAACGGTATATTTTATTATATATAACATGTTTTATTGGTTTTGTCATCGAGAAAACTTTTGTGTTTGATTAACGTGTGAAACGAAAAGAAAAAAAGCTTTATTCATCAAAACAACACTTTTATTTTATCACATTCAATGCAATAAAAGCATAAGAGGCAACAAACAATCTACGATTATGTTCACATTAAGAAAACAACTCAAGTATACTTTCATTAATCATTAATTGTATCATTGTAACGGGTGACCCTGAATACATTTTCCATTCAGTATTTTATTACCATCTTTTCTTTTAGATTTATAGGAATTTTAAGATTAAAACCTTGGATTTTAAGATGTTTTTCAATATTTTAGCTATAAGGAGGAAAGAAAAGATGATAGAACGAAAAACAACTATACACCTGGATAATGTTGCCTAGCATTTATAACAAAGTTTTGACGTCGATTCAGTCAAGTTATCGAGGGGTCATAATGGAACGATATCAAAAACCGAATTTTATCGAGAGTATCTTGATAGCTTGAGAGTTGCAACAGAAATGTAAAGATGCTCAATTGAGTTTCAATTGGTTCTGGCATGGAGAAGGTCTTGTCATTTATAGTTTTTGTTAGACAATATTTACATAGAAAACCAAAATCTCAGGAGAAGCATTGTTCTGAGATTTTGGTTTCTATAGACTACAGTTTGAGAAATTTTAGTAGAACACTTATATACACCGCATCAGATTGAAAATTCTTTCAGCTGTTCAGATCCTTATTCAATTTTATTTCAGCTAAAATTAAATGACATTAGAGTCATAAAATTTAAAAGGAAGAGTTTACAATCAAAAACTAATTCAATGTCCTTCCAAACTATCACACTCTTTTAACTTCAATACCAATGGAGAACGAAAAAAGCCTTACGAGGTTTTCTGGAATATCTTAGAAATCCGCAGCGTTACAATATCTGATATTGGAAACCGTTTAACTACATACCGCTGATTACCGATTTTGTTCATCAAAACTCTTCAAATCAGGGTCTCTGGAGAACCAAAATATTAGAAAACGAAGTGCCCGAGTTCAATTCAGAAATTCTTTGTGAATACGTTTTTCGTGTAGAGCAAACATTTCTGAACAAAATGAGACGTCTCCGATCATTGGTTTTCTCATAGGTTGCATCATGTTCCCGAAGAAAAAACCGAGTAAAAGATTCTTCTAACGCATGCGTTACTCGTTACCAGTAACTACTAACGAGATGCGTTTATTTTTCATAGCTTTTGTAACGAGTAACGCATAATATAGTAACGCTTTAGTCGCACTGTGTCCGGAAGCTGATAAAACAATACATTTTCGGTTGTTCGTCACTCATACAGTGATATTTGAAAGCGTTGCTTTACTCAGTAAAGTAACGCATCAGTAAAGAAAATGCGCCACCCCTAACTCGGGCACTTCGTTTTCTAATATTTTGGTTCTCCAGAGACCCTGATTTGAAGAGTTTTGATGGAACCATTTTATACAGCGCCTCCGATCAAAAATTCTTTCAGCTATTCAAATCTTTTTTCAGATTTGTTCTAGCTATTACCGTCGATGAGAAAAATCCAAAATAAAGGTGGTGAACAATTTTTGCATCCACTGCAGGCTTAAGCGGCTCAGTATTTAAAATTCCAAAACCGCTGCCAAGCTTGATTAAGTCTCCTATTAACCCATCTTGTAGAGCGTTTTTTGGCGCATCGAATTATGCATGAATGAGTAGAGATCCTCTTTAGTTTGATAGAAAAAAGTGAAACAAGAGTTCCCTTGGCATAGCCACAACCTATGGAAAAGTCTAGTATTAAACTCATAAAACTTGCTGCCAGGCTTTGTTAAGGTTTCTATTAACTCATCTTATAGAGCGTTTCAAGACGCATCGAATGGTGTGTAAATGATTAGGGATCACCTTTAGTTTCATAGAAAAAAGTGACCGACAGTTCGAGTAGCATAGCGGCGACAAATGGAAAAAAACTAGTATTTGATTCACCACGGCCGCTGCCAGGCTTCGTTAAGGTTCCTATTAACATATATTGTAGAGCTATTGAAGATGCATCGAATGGTGTATGAATGATTAGGGATCATCTTTACTTGCATGGAGAAAAGCGACTGACAGTTGCGGAGATATAGCGGCGACCTGTGGTAAAAAACCAGTATTTCGTTCACAATGGCTGCTGCCAAGCTTCGTTAAGTTTGCTATGAACTCATATTGCAGAGCTATTCAAGACGCAACGAATGATATATAAATAATTAGGGATCATCTTTAGTTTCATAGGAAAAAGAGATCGGCAGTTGCGGAAACATAGTGGCAACCTGTGAAAGAAAAGTAGTATTTGATTCATAATGGCCGCCGCCAGGCTTCGTTAAGATTCCTAGTAACCCATCTTGTAGAGCTTTTCAAGACGCATCGAATGGTGTATTACACTAGACTAAATATTGTATATTTTCTGAGAAATTTTGATTCTACCATAATACTGATAGTGTAACGGGGGTGCTTGTCTGCGAGTAGATTTAATCGTATACGTCCAATCCGAACCGTCCGATAAAGTCGAAAGCACTGAATAAGATAAGTTTGATGAATTCTGGATACTTTGAGGCAATAAAATAACAATAATTTAGTGGGCCGATTTCAAGTCTTATGCGGACTACTCCTTTCTTCCATTTTTCCCATCGGAAAATCTTTCACACGTCTCTAGGTGGCTACGTTTTTAGGTTTCTTTCATTTACTCATTGGGGGAGAGCCGGGTTGGTGAGAGTGGATAGGCTAAAGGACATTTAATTCACCAATCTGAAGTGATATTATGGGAGTTTCGGGTATACATATTTTGCCAACGTTGGCGATGTCTGCAGTATCGTAGCAGTAGACAGAATGTAGCGGACGGGAAGGATGAGAAATACTTTGTGGAATGCTGGAATTCTCGAATACTACAATTGCAGAATTTTCGAATACTATAACAACGGGATCCTCGAATGCTGATGTCGTGGAATTCCTGAATAGTATAGTTGTCGAATAGCATAACAGCGGGATAATCGAATTGTTGAATAGTAGAAACCTGCAATTCTGAAATACTATAACAACCGGATGCTGGAATTCGCGACTACTATAAGAGTGGGATCATCTAATTCTGAAATCCTGCCATTCCTCAATGGTATAGTTGTGCCATGCTACACGTATCCGACGCACGAAATCCCGATTCCTCGAATCCTAAAATTCATGAATCAAACACTTATCGAGTCCTATACAATTACATGCTCGAATGATCGAATAACTTAAACCTTAGAACTCTCGCATATTATGGCAGTGCGATCCTTCAATTGTCGGATACTAAAGAAACCAAAAAATCAAAAAACCTAGACACCTAGAGATATGTGAAACATTTTCTCGTTGAACAATTTTAGAAACATTTTCCAATGGGAAAATGAAAGAAGCCTAAAAACCTAGCCACCTAGAGACGTGGGAAAATGCGCGGAACAGACCTAGAGTTCACGAGCGTGGAGGAAGTGGCATTTTTCGTTTTTCTGGAAAACGAAATTCTGCATGACATCGAAATAGAAACGAAAATTGTCTTTGTCCATTGAAAACAAAAATGAAGAGCGTTAAGACTCGATTGAACTTTATTTCTTTCGCTTTCTATAGAATACAACAGTACACTGCACGTGCATAAAAAGAGACATGTGTCTTTGTATACATACGAATAAACGATAATGTCTCGGAAGAGGCGAAAGAAAACAATTAAGAAAAGAAGAACAAAGAGAAGATCAAGAAAAGAATGCATATTGGAGATAATATGAACTTATATAACCGTTACACATGATAGGCAAACTAGTCTTATTAGGACTTTATTGTTATGATATCAATTGAAGTATGATCAAATAGCATAGAAAGAAAGAGCATTTTTTTCTCTATCATCCTATGTAAAAAGAAGCTTTCATCAAGCTTATTACGCAGTACTAAAATGTCGTTGCCACTAGTTTTGGATACCCCTAAGTATTTCTTTGCTCATCTTTAGAAAATTTTCCTTCTGAAAAAAGGCAAATTTTTTGAAATTCTATGAAATTTTTTATTAATATAAACTCATATATGTTTGATTTGTCATGAAAGAAAACAATGTTTTTTTCAAGTATTCAGTAGAAATCTTCGTATACTCATTGAGAATGATCACAAGCAAACTTCTTTTCTTTATGGATTTATCAATAATTACTAATCATTACTCGCAAAGTTAAATTAACATACATTTTGTTTTACTTTGTTGTGTTTTGATTAATATTTATTTCAAGTATTATTATTAATAGTTCATATATAATATCTCAAGTTCTAATATTGGTTGTTAATGTAGACCGACTATAACTATAGAATGAAAATAAAACATAAGAGTAAAGAAAAAATTTGCCTTTTGCCTCTTTTTCAAATAAAAGTAGAACATCAAATATAAGTCAATTGTTGATCTATATATATGTCGTATCGAAGTTACTGGGTGACGATGTTATAACTTCGACGATAAATTTTATCGAATTTTATCTCAAATCAACTAAATATGAAATAATTATCAAAATAATTGATAATATTAAAATTAGAATGTATACTTGTTGTTAATTCTTCATTTTAAGAACATATATACGATTTTTTTGGGGAAAAATCATTTAGCAAAATTTTCAGAAAAATTAAATATTAGATTTTGTTATTTATATAGAGAGCTATTTCTTCTTTGATCCCTAGCTGGTATTTGGCCGAGGTTGTCCTCGAAGCGGATATGCTGCTATGGGTGCCAATGAATTTCGGATTTCGTTTAGCAGTCGTTTCCATGCTTGGCGGTCTGTGGCCAGGTTTCTGGCCTCGTCTAGGTTGAGTCGCCGATTCTTTGGATTCTCTTCGGCTTGTTTAATCCACGTTTTCTTTGGCGCCGATCGTTGGACCTTCCACTGTGCAGGTCGTGTCTTCCAGAGGAGTCTGTGTGGTAAACGGCTGCCGTTCATTCTGCATACGTGGCCAAACCATCGCATTCGCCGCTTCTGGATCAGTTCTTCGATCGTCGGTTGACGTTCGCAGTGATTACGAATGACTTCGTTTCGAAGGTGATCGCGGAGTGAGACGTGCAGGATCTGAAGTAGGCATCGCATTTGAAAGAGTTCTAACTTGTTCAACTCTGGTTGGAGTAGAGTCCACGTTTCTGATTCATAGAGAAGGATCGGCAGGATCAGGATTCGGAAGAGTCGGATTTTGGTCTTTGTGTAGATGTTGATTCTTTTCCACAAGCACCACTTGAGTGAGGCGAATATTGCGGCTGCTTGCCCAATTCTGCTGTGGATCTCTGTTGTGGATGCCACTTTCTTATATAATGAAACACTTTAATTTCATACCAATAAGGAAAATAGTGCCTATAAAAGCAAATTAAATATTAACGAGATTCGGATTTCTATTAAGCCAAACCAAGACTTTCTTTGCTACTCTTTTTCATACTCACCATATTTCAATATTATTGAATTAAAATTTTCCTCAATGATTTTTCCTAAAAAGAATCTTATACATGTTCTTAAAATAAAGAATTAACTATAAGTATACATTCTGATTTTGATATTATCCATCATTTTAATAATTATTTCATATTTAGTTGATTTGAGATAACTTCCATTCGACACGACACATACATATAAAACTCTCTTCATTGTTACATCTCATATATCTTAATTAATTACATTGATTAAAAATCGATGTTCACTATTTATTCAAGGAAAAACGAATGATCAATTGTCCTAATTGTTGACTATCTGTGAACTACATTCGACTATTGTTACTTTAATAATATGTTCGAGCACATTGACATCGTTGTTCATGGTGCCGATGACAGTAAGATGATCTCGTTGACCAGTTAAATGTTTTAGATTAGGTATTAGAGAGAGAAGACGACATAGAATAGGAAAATCGATAGAAGATATAACATCGCTAAGGCAAAGTTCAGTGACTGTCGGCATTGTCAATATTGTGTTCTGGATTAGATCATCGCTTAAATTACATCGGTATTTAAAACGAAGATAATGTAGAGAAGGACATGTGTGCTGTATGAATGTAAATAGAGCGAGATTTAATTTATCGTAAGTATCAAAAGTAATCATGACAATTGATGGAAGAGATAGAATGACATTAGATTGAGAATAACTCTAGTGATAATCGACAAAAGCATTAGATACATGTTCAAGTCGATCGAAAGAGAATGGCATTGTGAATCGTGTAAGGAATTGACGCTGCAAATGAAATATTGAAATGATTTGTTTTTTTGTCCAATAATTAAATGTATGACGACGATCGATTTCCATATTCATCAAACCACTGTGGACACAAAAATCGATCGATTTTAAATGCGGTAAATAATCGAGTAAATATAGCTCGAGTATGCGCCATGTTGCCATAAGAAAACGTTGACCTGTACTGATGTAGAATGAGAGATGTTCGAGCGATAAAGAAAATCGTTTCACAAAAGCACAGAAACTCGTTGTATAAATCAATTGGTCGTAAGCTATAAGACGTAATGATTTAACTTTTGTAGGCCATTCTCGTCCTTCCAAGAACTTCGACTGAAAAATTGAAAGTTCATAGTAGACCTTATGGAGGCGAAGTTCAAAATATTCAAGAGCAGGTACAAACGGCATCAAAACAATGGCGAAACAAATATGACCCAAGTTAAGTGATAAACGAGTGAGATTTTGATTGATCATGAAAGAGCGTGATGATATAGGGAAAAGGTTATCTGTATCCAATATGAAACAATTTGATATCGATAAACTTTCTAGACAACTATCGGAATGCCATATAAACGAAACCAATCTTTTTATTCTCTCAGGTTTTTCACAAGTCAAAGTGACTGAGAGTATTTTGAGTCGAGTGAATACGAGTATTTGAGACACTTTTTCAGAGGCTGTTGTCATCCGAAGATCAAGACGATTGAGTCGTAGAAATATGGAAGAAAGTGGATAAGCGAAATGGTCAAGATTGATTCGAAGCGATAAAATTGTATTTTTTTTCAAAGACGATAAATAAGATAGCCATCTATCGGTCGAAACAACAGACATATCAGTAGTGGAAAAATCAATATGACGAATATGTGCGTATAATTGCACATAGCACCAAATGCATTTATTAGATCTGTTGAACGAAGATATATAAAAATGTGATAGAGTAACAGTTCGTTGGGCAAGAAAGTAGAACTGTTGGTTCTAAAAAACGAAACTCTCTCTAAGTTATGAATGATTAAACTTTAATAGATGATTACTCACTGCTCATTCTCATCGTTGCCACATATCCTCTTGACTTCTAACATGTTCATCATTTTTATAAAATGTAATCAGTTGTTCATTCTCTGTCTATTCTATTAGTCGTCGCATTTTATGATTCGATAACATTATTAAATATAGTTGGTCGTCATAGAGGTCATCTTATAGTATTATCAATCTCTCTATTGGAGCAACAAAAAAGTGACATTTGTTCGTTCTTTCTGAGTTTCATCAACTGTTCAAATATGGTTATTGTAAAAAATACCATACATCTCACAAGGCGTTTCCTTTGTTTCATATCTAGTGTAGACACGAGATTCGTCTTGTTGTTTTCATACGTATAAGGATAATAGACAGTGACATCTCTTCTTTATTATTTGAAATGAATACGTGACGGGTCAAGTGCAGATCCCAGAGCTGAAACTGGTTAGAAAATGATGAATCGGTCCGGTTCGACCGGTTGAAAAATCTGACAGGCCCGGTCCGGTTGAAAACACATGTTCAACCTGTAAAATTCTGGCAAAAACCGGCGAAAAAATGGTAATTTTTTTGAAAAAACGATTTTTAGAAAAAGATGGTACCAAATATCAAGTAGCTGAACAGCACGTGTAAGAAACACTTAACATAATGAATCTGTTGTAAAAGAATCTCAGCACAAATGATTACAATCATATGTATTTCGAGCACTATTGTATGAGTTCTGACAGAAATATATGCGATATCTTCATTTTTACGGTCAAAGACAGGGCTAACGAAGATAATTTTGCAAAACTTTCTACCGGCAAAATTTCGGTCCGGCTGGACCAGTACCGGTTTGCCGGACTGGTTCCAGCGCTGGGAGACCCTTGAAATAAATACTGATGTAATCAAAATGTGTTTGAAGATATATTTTCAAAGAAGAGCACGCACTTTAAACGTTAGATAAAATAAAATAAGAATATCATTCTAATGACCTAATGTAATACATGATTGATGACATTTGAACAATGTCTCTAGAAACTGTTACTTGTTGTAATCGGTCCATATTCAATTTTAATGCCAATGGCAATGGTATTTCCTAAATGTACATTAGAAGGTAATAATATCATACGTCCATGTACATTAATTATGAAAAATGATCACTTACCAATAAATACACAATGGCACGGTTGTCCAGCAACAATGACACTTCATACCGCAGAAGAACGTCAGCAGAACGTCACATAGTGAATGAAAATGTTTTGCTTATATGTACTTACAAAAAAGAATTTCCTCTGTAAGGTTGTGCAACAACAGATACTTAAAACTCACTATGGCCTTGAATTTTGCAGAGTTCGTGTTGTATTTTCTTCTTTTTATCATGAAAGTATTTTCAAACATATCAGAATTATATGTTAAATGTTGCACGAATTTCTAGGGCAACGAAAAATTTGAATATTACTTAAATAATCCGAACGGCAACGTAAACCCGAATCAGCTTCTCTGGTTGGATGAGAACAATACGCTTATGTTTACATCTAAAAAACTGGGCCGGTTGTCGGAAAAAATGTATTCAGACATGCCGCGCAAGATGAACAGGCCTGATAGCACGCCAATGACATCGACTTGACACTAGTTTTGGATGTATCCATACTTCGTCTACAATATGCCAAAGGTTCACTGTGTTTCCTAATTGATTTATGGTAAAATTCTGGGCACAAAATTTAGTTGATCAGAGAGAATATGAGCTCATATTCTTCCGAACGGGGACAATTGCCCAGTGCCAAAAAACTTGATAAACATGTTTCCTTAGAATTTTAGTAGCAGTAAAGTACTGAAATACTGATTCTACTACGCTGGATTTTAATTACACGTTTGTTTCACTGTGAAACAAACGTGTAACTGTCACTACTTGTTCGGCAGAGCGCGCCTTCAGCTCCCTCAAACGCGTTAACTTCGGCCCAGTCGATCTTTTCATTGCCCATAGTTGCCCAGTCATCAAAACATTTTAGCTGGGGAATCGCCCAGTGCTAAAAAAATCCTGGCTACGCTACTGTGAGCTTTTATTGGTTTTGCTGGTATTATTTCCGTCTATGGCACTAGTGGAGTGATACCTGTAACTGTTTAACGTGCATTTATTTTAAAACGACTACAAATATAATTTTTGAAAAATATCCTAGATTAGTATTTTATATGCTCGAAAGCAAGTGAACCGTTCAAGAGTTCTAAGCATCGAATTTGATTCATGTCATTTGTATCATTAAACGCTGTACTTAATAAGAACATTCTGCTTGTTCTGTGTATTGACTGGCATTCAAATACACGCACCTTTTTATGGTTTCATAGAAAAAAGGTTTCACACTACTGCGAGTAATACTATCCATTTCAGAAAGCAGCACACTCTGCCACTTCGGAGTCATCTATTAACAAAAACGGATAGAGGCGCATGGTTTTCGTTGTTGGATAGAGAAGATCGAACACCTCTTTTCCTAAGCACAACCAATTTCAAAAACTAAATATAAAGATGTGGTAGTATGATCTGTTTACAAAATGGTACATTTATACAGAAGGGCTAACCTCGTGGAATATGCCTAGTTTTATCCGTTCTACAGAATAACTGATATGTTTAAGTTTCTGGATATCCGATGTTCGACTGTCTTTCCTGAAGATACAATTACAGTTCGAAAACGATAAATAAAAAAAGGTATAAATAACTATTATTTCGGGAATAAAAGCATCTGAGAATGCTTTCCTTTGTAAACCGAAAGCATATGGAGTCGAAATATATTTGGCTGGAGCTTTTTTGCAGACGAGTTAAAGAAAAATCTATAATCATACATTTATGAAAAAAATAACCATAAGTAGCTCGACTATAGTATACAGACATGTTGCTG